CGCAGGTTGTGCGTATGAGGGTGGCAGTCGGGCGAAAGTGGGAGTGGCGTCTCCCAGTGCGGCATACGGTGAAGGCGCTAATTAGAGAAAGAAGGGGTGCTGCGATTCAAAAAGTTGGAGTGGGCGACGCAAAGCACGTCGTAATAAAGCTGTGGCCGATAAGAAAGAGGTTTGTGCGTCGGCGGAGGGGGGAGGGGGGAGGCGGGAGTTAGAGGGAATGGGGTCTGGGAAACAAGAAAGCGCCGAAAGAGTTTATGAAGCCACAAAGAAGAGTTGGAGACGAAGTTTCTGTGAAGAGAACGCGCTGGTTGGTCCATGAAAGTATCGTGATGCAGTCTTCACACTTTCAAATGAAATATTTGATGTAGACTTAATGTTGTGGTGTTAAATACATAACACGTATTAGTATATATCCATTCACAATTTATCATAATTATTCATTTCAAATGAATTATTCAGCGAACGATTCGAAAGTTACAAAAACAAGGATTTTCTCGTGATTGTATTCCCTATATTCTTAAAAATTTAGTTCTCAGAAATGTTGTGTGGACAATTCAAATGAACTCGCTCGACATTTGTAAATTATTAAATTTAGGCTCTCATTAGGCCTATAAATATAGACGCCAATTATTATATATAATATTATTACATAATATGTAGTATTATTTACAATATATTAAGTGTATTAAATATATTATTATAATATTACTCTGTAATTTGGTAAATATGGGCACACGAAATGAAGACAGTGACACGTGGTGATGAATGAACACGTTATTATCATGATTCCTTTTAACGAACGATTTTCGAAATGTTAGCGACCCGGGCATGATCAGAGTGGCTAAGTCGAGTGGAGCGAGAGAGAGTGGGCAAGAGAGAGAGCGAGAGAGAGGGAGAGAGAGGGAGAGGGTGAGAGAGGGGAAGTCAAAGGTCACTTGGTTGGTACTCGTAGGATATCGATTGATTGCCGAACAGCGGGCCAACTTCTGGCAGCCCCTTGGAGTTTCCACGTTACGACCGCAGTATATTTTGATCCACACAGTCGCCATAAACGCTGCAAGAAAGATACCCGACGAAGTTGTCAGGGGATGGGAGATGTTGAGGGCGATTGAGTGAGCCTGGACAACGAAGAGGAGGTGGACAGAATTCGGGGCGGACGAGGAAAGAAGAGAGTGAAAAAGAGTTCCCGTATGGGAGTAGTGCTAAGTATAAAACAGGCCCTAAAATTATTGGTTCACTGAAGCAATAAACGTTTTATTGCCGTAAGATGTACAGCAAGATGGGAGAACGGTAGGGGTAATCCGAGACATGAATAGTGGCGATACTCCATTCGAACAAAAACACGACTTATCAAAGAGTTACGATATTTTGGATATGTCTGCATCGAAGCTTCCGATACAAGCCGTTCCGATGTCCGGTCAGTTCATGTGGAATTTGTGGTGGACAGAGTTTGTGGCAGCTATTCTTGGCGTTCTACGTGTTTCCATGCCTCTCATTGCAACATTGCTTTACCATAATTCATGTTGATTGATTAGTAATTCTGGGCGCGTCGACTGCTAAGGTCAATAGATCCGTAAGTGTAGTGTTCGGTGGTGGTCTTCCCCTGTATGATGAGATCCGGCGCCGACTATCTCCGGCTAGCGGGGTTTCTCACCACCAGGTATCTCCCACTAGCGGGGCACCGCCCAAAAGTTATATGCTCTAAGCTCCCGACCGGTCTCCCGGTATGTGTAGTAGAGTGGTGCATGTGAGTGCAAGTGTTTATAAGGGGAGAGAAATCGACATGGAAGTGGAATGTATGATCACGAGGTCTGTCTCGCGTTTGTTAGCAATCGTCAATTTCGTACCTTTAAAAAAACTTTGAAAGAATTCAAATTTTTGCAGTTCACGAAAATTCATAGTTAAGAGTGCAAATCGGCTCTATGTCATCTCTGTAAGTGTATTTCATTCTATTCTTCTAAGAAATGTAAAGAAAAAATTGGAGCATTTTTAACAAATTTTGAAAACACTTTTGGGGCTCAATGCAAAGTACCCCTAAAATTTAAAGAATTTTTAAAGTTGCATTGCCTTGAGTCGGGGCAGCTCACGCGGAGAATATGCATTTTGGAGAAAAACCTAAGACCTTAGGTGCTACTGTAATAGACGGCTGAACGGATGGATTTAACGAACGAATGAATTGACGAGCGCATGAACTGATTGACTGATGGACTCATGAGCTGACGGACTGATGGACTGACGGGCTGACGGACGGATGGACTGATGAACGGAAAGACTGACGGACGGATGGACTGACGAACGGATGGACTGACGAACGGATGGACTGACGAACGGATGGACTGACGCACGGATGGACTGACGCACGGATGGACTGACGTACGAATGGACTGACGTACGGATGGACTGACGTACGGATGGACTGACGTACGGATGGACTGACGGACGGATGGACTGACGGGCGGATGGACTGATGGACGGAAAGACTGACGGACGGCTGAACTGACGAACGGATGGACTGACGGACCGATGGACTGACGGACGGACGTTCTGAAAATCTTTTGGTACCAAAATGCATTTCCATGGAAATACCGAAATCAATTTTCCGTAGCATTTATTAAATCTCTCTATACTACGTAGTAGATTGCACCTTATATATAACTGTTACTTCGTTGCAGACATTGGTAATATACATAAAATTATGGTTAATGTGGAAATATAAAATAATTATGCTAGTAAAGGAAGCACCTGCATTACTCATTTTTTAAGTCAGTTGAAATTCTGATATATTTGATTTAGATATATATTATTTTATTTTCAGTCTGTGTTCAAGAAACATCGTCATAATCATCGATATCATAAACACAAGTTTTACTACAACCCTTGATAGCACTCGAAGGGCGCGAGATGGACGCGAACGCAGGGAGGTGCGGGCGTCGGCGAAGGGGCTGAGTGCGGGGGAGGGGTGTTGAGCAAGGGAAGCGCAGAGGGCGGGGCGGGCGCAGAAGCACCTGTCTCAACACCTGCCCCGACTCCTTGCGTTCGCCGAGGCGTCTTATCAGCGGCTTCATTAGTGGGCGGGCGGGACGCGCCGCTGGGATGGCTTTACAGCTGCGCGTTTACTGCCGGCGGCCGCAGCAAAGGATCAGGGCGCTGCGCCCAGGCAACCTCAGGGGGTGGGGGCAGGTAGCTCTGACTCCAGTCTTCGGACCTGCAGCGGCAGATGACGAGGCCACGACAACTCAATTCTGTTCAATGATTTCACGTGGCGATGCTCTTGCCATCGGGCCTGCTCTTCCGACTGAACACGTATATTTTGCTGAGCTCCTTTCACCATCTAACTGCGGCGAAACAGGTGGTTTATTTTAGCTCAGAGGCCACGACAATTCAATTCAGTTTAATGATGCCTTATTTTACGTGGCGAAACTCGTGCCATCAGGCCTGCACTTCCGACTGAACACGTATAATTTGCTGAGCTCCTTTCACCATCTAGCTGCGGCGAAACAGACGATTTATATTTAGCTCAGATGCCACGACAATTCAATTCAGTTCAATGATACCTTATTTTACGAGGCGAGACTCCAGCCATCAGGGCTGCTCTTCCGTCACACAATGCTAATTTTGCTATCCTGCTTTCACCATCGAAACAAAAGCAACGAAACAGACAATTGATATGTAGCTCAGAGGCCACGACAATTCAATTCAGTTCAATAATGCCTTATTTTACTGATCAGGGCTGCTTTTCCGTCACACAATATAAATTTCTCTATGCTCCTTTCACCATTGAATGATGGAATTTTTTGCCTTTAAAAATTAACTAAGCTTTGATAGGGTTTGTACCCGCAAACTATAACAGCCAGAACAGGTATAACAGTCAGATATCGTTTTGTCAGCGAAACCGCACGACTTTCGTCGATTGATTATTTTGTGTGTCCGGGCGCGCCAAACGCTAGTCATATTAAGTGTTGTAAAAATGATATTTCAGGAAGAAGTGGACCCCCCCCCCTAGAACATGAGACTTATACGTCGGCTTGCGGGAGTTTCATCTAAACGAGGTAAAAATGTAGATCGGCACCGAATATCGCCATCCAACAGGGAAATGCCACCATTACTCCCAACGGTAGACACATCCATTACACTTACGCGAGTAATCTCTTTCGTATTTTTTTCCCAAGCGGGAGGGGGGGGGGCTAAAGGATATGGGCCGTCCAGCTGCCCCCTTCGACACGCCCCACTTTCCCCGTGACATATTCTGCTCTATGTCCACCCCAATACGTTTTCTTCTCCCTCTCCTATCGGATGCCAAATAGTACGCTTGAGATCCTCCCAACCCTGAGGCTGCCTCTTAAACATATAGGCACACAAATAAGAGTGGTACCACTTTCAGTCTCTGGCACAACAACATTGAATACAAAACTTAAAGGTTTTTACTCTACATAATAATAATGTATTGAATTTCGTGAACATATTTATAATTAAAACTTTATTTCAAAGAGAGTAGAAGAAGAATACGTATTTAATCTTAACTTATTCCAAAAGAGACGGGTTACGTGCCTTCCAGCTTCCCTTTTGGTCATTTGCTTACACCTATCCTCCACGTCCACCTCAAGAAGATTCCTTTCGTCTCTTATACTAGATGCCAAATAGCAAGGTAGGGATCAGTCGAACGTTAAGGCTACCGCTTAATCACATGGGCTAAATAAGAGTGACATTGCTTTCAGATTCTCACAAAGAAACTTTAAATTCAAAACTGAAACGTTTTTGCACTAATGATACATTATGTGATCAGTTTCCTAATTGAAACTTGAGAGATTGAAAGAGGAATAGGCATAAAAGCATTACTCAGACCAGAGGAGGGTGTCACGTGCCTTCCATCTTCCCTCTTGGACCCGCCTCTGCGTCCACCTATGATATATCCCGCACGTCCACCTCAACAACCTCCCTGCCCCGCCTCTTCAACCCGACGCCAACCAGCTCGCTTGAGACCCGGCGACAGACGAGCTAACCTCCGGGCCGCACAGAGCTGTCACTTCCCGCGCCGTAGCGACCTCCTCCGCCCACGCCGATCTCTCCTCTCTCCTCCTCCTCCTCCTCCTGTGTCTCCGCCTGCGCTTCGCCAAACGCGTGTCCATGTGTCTTGGCTCGCCTCGCCGCGTCTAAGCCCGCTGGCGCGCGCGCGCATATTTGTATGCGCACCGAGTGGGCGCGCCGCTGAATACCCGCGTCGGTCGCGTGAATGTCCGTCGTGTGTGAATCGCGCGCGTATGCAACGCTGTGTCGCGCAGAGAATGCGCAGGTGCGGGACATAGGGGTGGCAAATCGCACGGGGCTGTTCTGTGCTGAATGCCGTTCGCAACGATACACGCGGCCTCTGTTTGCACTGCGCCTATTCAACGCGTTACGGCCTTCTTACATGTGTGCCCTCTTGCGACCAATGCATCGACTGGCCGTATTGTTTCCCAAACTACAATTGCGGTTTGTCGTGCGATGAATGCGAAGTTTTTGTAGCGTGTGGCGCCCTCTTTCACAAACGCGTGTGTGTCAGCGAGGTAACACGACCACGTGATGATTCTGACAGTTTCATGGTCACCCTGAAGCGACGCAAACTGCTTTTCTGATTCGCCCCGTGCTTTTTGTTGTTGTTCGCACTGGGTAAAGTGTCATAAATGTTTTACGATTTGTTGAGAACAATAGTTTGCAATATATTGTCCCTACATGCCTCTGAAAAGGATGAGCGTTGCAAGGAAATAGAAAAAATGGCTCTTATACTCTCTAGGAGTGGTTCTTTTCACTACGTTACAAAGGAAATCGAATTTATGGGAAAACGTTCTTACGAGATGATAATCATTTTTGCAAAAAAGATGAATATATAAACGAATAAACGTAAGCAAATTAAAAAGTTGAATAATATTTTTTTTAAATAAATCATTCACTAATAATATTATTACTTAATACATTCGGCGTATTTTGAATATATGAATACAATTTTTTGACAAAAAATGTGCGTGAGGTATTTATTTTTATACATTCATTTATTTAACATCAGAAAACTTAGAACACTGTGTGTGACGTATGACTAAAGGGAGAAGTGTTCCGTGAACACTTTCTTAAATTCTGGGATCCCTAACTAGACACATATACCAGTTGAAACTTGAATACAGATTGTAAACATAATAATTAGAAATTTGGCTATTAGAAACAAACTACAATTGAGAGACAACAATTATGAAAGTGGCGCTTTTGTTTAGAAAATGGATATCTGATATTGAAAATAAAAAAAACAATAGAAAATTCTGAAGCATCTTCCGAGAATCGCTGTAGGCAGATCCAGACTGAAGTATGCAAATTTGAGTCTCAAGAAAAGTCAGCATATTTCACCTTGCTGTTTAGAGTGAGTGATTCAGTGTATCCTCGAACCAAATTCTTCAATATTCCCGTATGTGCCTCTGTCTAGCAAATTGCTCATTATTCCCGTATGTGTAGTGCGCTTTATACCCTAGAGGGCGGTGATGTTCCTCCTAAAAACACGTCAGATCCGGCGCTGACCTATTCATCGGCTTGCGGAAGTTTTCCCCTCTAGTAGGTATTGCACCCTAGCGGGATGCCTTCCCAGCCGGGACACGCTCCGAGCTTTCGAATTATCTTGTGAGATGAGTTGTAGTGTAGTGCATTGAAGTCTGTTAGGGGAGATGAGCGACCAAAGGTAATGAAGAAAAGACCGCATCCAGTCCCTAGCCCGTTTGTTGAAGTCCTGCTCCAGCATTCGCTTAATATTGATCGGAGAAACTACGGAAAACTGTCATTCAGAATACTGGCTATCCAACGAGAGAATGAAGTAGACGTAAACAAGCACGGAATGTATTCCTCTGCTACAACATGTGGGCCCGGGCCACTGAGATGTAAGATGTAAGATGCCAATGAGTTGTCATCTTACTAGTTGTCAATACTCCGAGTGTTGGCGGTCTCCAATTCATCCACATGATGCACTGAATTGAATTAAAGCCTTATTTTACGTGGCGAGACTCGGGCCATCAGGCTCGCTCTTCCGTCTAACCACGCTAATTCTGCTTCGCTCCATTCACCAACTAGCGGAGAAAGGAGGCATTTCTTGGGCGACGAAACAGGCGATATGAATTTAGCTCAGGCAGAGTGCTTGAGGATCTTTTACATGCATGGGACAGCCGGCTTTACTTCCCCTCCGAAGGATTTTTTCGCCCTTAAATTCACGGCTTCGATCGAGTTTGAACTCGCCAACTTGGGTATAACAGCCCGATACGCTAATCGCTACACTATCGACGCCGACAATAATTGCATAATACTCTTCTATCGATCGGAATGAGCAAGATTTGCAAAGGAAACGGATATACGTTTGATAAATCGGAATAGAGATCATGGCACTCGAAAAGAAAACAATGCACTCACTAGACTTAATATTTCTAAAATTATTATTAAAATTGCCAATAAGAAGCCATGAAATTTTTGCACGCCTCAAAATCGCGAGCAGGTCGTCTTGAATGTGATACAGTGATTATTATTACCAATTCAAAAATTGGTACATCACTGAAGTAGTCTACCGTTAATTTAACATGAAATTCATTTATTGTTTACATGAAAACAAAATAGTTCATTCTGAATCTGACATTGGCTCCATCGTCTATCAATTGAAAATTCAAATTCTTCTCCTGCGTAATGAACTTAATAGGTTGAAAATAAGTTTAAAATAGCATTAGTTTCGTTACATTACGTCACCTTTTATCAGGAATGTCCTAGAGTTTCAGACATTGACAACGATGAAGCTAGTTGTTCAGTCATGGAACTTTAGTGAAAAATGCACTACACAGAACACACTCAACAGCCACGTTACGTACACAATCACATACCTACAACTTTTAACAACCAATCTTGACATTGTAAAGCGAGTTTATTTTACACTTATTATTTTTGCACAACTCAGTTTCACTACGCTATAAGCAAAGAGGTTACGCTGTTCGCTGTTCCTTCTTTGCTTGATATGTTCAGTATCTTCGTTAGCCTCACCCGTTTGAAGTAACACATATCATGTAATGTAGCTTTACACTTATATAAACGCTAACATCCGATTTTCTACTGTATATTACGAGCATTTGGAATTTACGGAACTATAATATTACGCGTGTATTTAAAAAAAAGTCCGAGGTAGAATGGGTATCGCAGACTTGCCTACCCAAGTGGCAATATGTTTATATCCACTTCGTTCCCTCGTTAGATAAAAAATAGCCGATTGCGATCATTTTCATTCTGACAGTGGAAGTCCGATGCCTTCTGGGAACCCTCCGGTCGTCCTGGAATAGTGGAGCGGGCACACAACTGGGGCTTACGGCACCTGATGAGCGTCAGTCAATGGTCGAGCTGAAAGCCTGAAACCTAGCTCTGCCGATAACCCTTTGCGGTCGGAAACGATAGGTAACATGAACGTCCTACATGTCGGAAGACATCTTTAAGATGGCAAGGCGTCAAGGGCTATTAGCTCGGAGCTTTCAGAAAGGTGGCTCCTACAGGTCGGAGGGCATCTCTCAGATGACAGCGTCCATTCCGTGATCCAGTCGGATGACATCTCAGAGATGACAGCGGATTTCCTTCATATTTCTCGATAAGCTCGTCATCCAACAACAAGATAGCATTGTCAATTAGAAATAGATGGTATGTTGAAATTCATACAAACGCTATCTGATACAAAATGTTTTGCCTCACTTATTCTCGTCATTCTCTTATCAAGCATATGCTGGCAAGCAGCCTCCATCCAGGTGAATGTTTTGAGCTGTTTCTCATTCAAAATAAAATTCAAAATCATTTTGAATGTAAAAATTGTTTTCTGTATACATTGACCTTTGTTTTAAAAATAAAATAATTCTTTTCTTGCACTGCACTTAGTTGTTTATTTCCGAAATTGTACAATCAATGAATTTAACTACTAAAATAAGTCAATTTGGAACGGAATTTTCAAGATTAAAGAAAATTTATTGTTGTTTTTGGAATATATTATCCGAATACACCGTTCATTGTCAAGTTATAGGAAAAATAATGACGAACGAGTTCAATACTGTTTAAAATACAATGGCAGTTGAATAAAAAGTAAAGCGTCACCTCCTGAGACCTTGAAACAATGGCCGACCTGACGGAAGTGCGAAGCGCGGAAACCCTCCGAGACAACGCGCCATTTTCTTGTGCCATCTCAGAGATGCCCTCCGACCTGCAGAACAGCACACTGCCTGCAGGCCAACGAGCTGGGAAATGATTGCAAGATGTCATCTCAGATTTGCCGTACGAGTCCCCCCTGCTCGCCTTGGAACAGTGAGCGAGCACACACGACTGCGGCTTACGACAGCTGATACAGCGCAAGCCGATATTCGAGCTGGAAGGCGAAAATCTAGCTGGCCGTTGAGGCACGCTGACCTCTCAAAATGAATGTATTTGGTATAATAAGTGAAGTGAAGTGCGAATGAAAGGGAAGAATGAATGGTTATGTATATAATGAAAATAGTATGAATGATGTGTGAATGTAGAAAAAAAAATGGAGGAAAGGGGGGGGGGGGGAAAGGGCCCGGGAAGTTTGGGGAGGGAAAATGGGGGTTTATAGCCTGGGTGCGAAAGACCTCATTGAGAGAGGTAGAAAGCAAGCCCCGTGCCGAAAGAGTTTTGGTATGAGGAGTGGCCACAAAAAGAGAAGAGTTGGAGAGGCGGTGTTGATAGTTGTTTCTGTGAAAGAGAAATGCGGCGGCTGCGTGGTATCGGGTTCCATGGAAAGTTCGTGTAATTGCCAGTCGTTCGCAACTTTCATAGATGCAATATTTTTGAAATGGTAGACTTTTAATATTCGTGGGGTGTGTTGAAAATACAGATAACACTGGTAATTAGGTATAATCATGTTCGCAGCCATTTTATCATAATTATTTCTTTGCAGATGGATTATTCTAGCAAACGATGCGAAAGGTTTTACAAAAGAAACAAGGGATTTTTCTGGGTTTTTCTCGTGATTGGTAATTCGCCTATATCTTTAAAAAATTTTAGTTTCAGAGAAATTTTTGTGGACAATTCCAAATGCCACTCGCTCGACATTTGTAAATTAATTAAATTTAGGCTGCTCATTAGGCGCTATGAAATATAGACGCGCAGTCATGAATATATAATATTTATTACATAATATGTAGTATTATTTACAATATCTTAAGTGTATTAAATATATTATTATAATATTACTTCTGTATTTGGGTAAATTATGGGCACACGAAATGAAGACAGTGAAACAGCGTGGTGATGGAATGAACACG